TCTCTCTCTCTCTCTCTCTCTCTCTCTCTCTCTCTCTCTCTCTCTCAGCTAGGACATCCTTCTTCTGTCCTCAGATATAAGAGCTTATGGTCCCAGGAAACTTGGACTTTGGGACTTATACCAGCAGGCATTCTCCCTCCCTGTCCTCTAGTTCACAGGGCTTCAGACTCAGAGTGAATTACTCTGGCTTTCTGGTTTCTCTGCTGGAAGACAGTGGATTGTGGGACTCATCTTCCATATCACGTGAGCCAATTTTTATAATAAATAAATAATGACTTTGTCTCTCTGAAGAACCCTAACACACATATATAGTAAATCCTGACTACAAACATTCGAGTCACAACCTTTCACAGATACTAATGCACCTCGCATTAGAAACATTTGTAGATGCAAACAGATTGCATAAGTAGTTCAAATGTCTGCCAGATACTGTCACAGTTGTGCTGTTGTGTGCATACTGTAAAAGTAAAAATAGTGTTTTCCAGTATTTTTGTGTACATATTTGCTTTTTTTATGCTTTACATTGTATGTGTCAAACTTGTATAAGACTTTGTTGGACTTACCTACAAATCCAACTTACAAATGTTCTTCCACAACAGAACTCATTCATAAGTCAGGGACTTACTTTATAGAAAATCCTAAAGATGTCTACTATCACCACTCCTGTTCAATGTAATTTTGGAAACATTAGCCACAGCAATTAGAAAAGAGAAAGAAATAAAGATAGGAAGCGAAGAAGTTAAACTGTCATTATGTGCTGACAATATGATACTCTACATAGAAGACCCAAAAAACTCCACCTCAAGACTTCTAGACTTAATTGATAGATTCAGTAGAGTAGCTGGATACAAGGTCAACACTCAAATATCTATAGCCTTCTTCTACACAAATAACAGACTCACTGAAAGAGAAATTAGAGAAACAATCCCTTTCACAATAGCATCCAAAAAATGAAATATTTAGTGATCTAACAAAGGAACCAAAAGACCTCTACATTGAGAATTATAGCACTGAAAAAAGAGATCGAAGAGGATATAGGAAAATGGAAAGACATCCCCTGTTCCTGGGTAGGAAGAGCCAATATAGTGAAAATGGCCATACTTCCAAAACTGCTATACAGATTTAATGCAATCCCTATTAAAATCTGAACAGCATATTTCACAGAACTAGAGAAAACAGTTCAAAAGTTCATCTGGAAGCAGAAGAGACCTAGAATAGCAAAAGCACATGGCAGGGGGTATCACAATTCCCAATATGAAACTGTACTACAAAGCCACTGTGGTAAAAACAGCATAGTACTGGCAAAGAAACAGACTGAAGGATCAGTGGAATAGATAAGAAGATGCAGAAACAACTCCAGACATACTCAGCTACCTCATCTTTGACAAAGGAGCCAACCATCCTCACTGGAGGAAAGATAGCCTCTTTAATAAATGGTGTTGGAAAAACTGGATTTCAACTTGCCAAAGATTAAAACTAGATCCCTATCTTTCACCATGCACTGAACTAAAATCAAAGTGGATTAAAGATCTGAATGTTAAAACAGAAACACTAAACTTGCTGGAAGACAAGTTAGGGAGAACTCTTGAAGACATTGGCATAGGAAAGGACTTTATGAACAAATCCTTAGTAGCACAGGAACTAGCATAAAGAATCAACTGGGATCAAATTAAAAAGCTTCTGCACTGCAAGAGAAACCACCAACAGAGCTAAGAGACAACCTACAATGTGGGAAAA